CCTTAGATTGTTTTCATGCGTTTTGAAAATAAAAATGGTCATCTCACAATGGCTGAGATCTAGTAAATGTGGGTAATGTAATTTAAGCTCTGTATACTTTCTTTACTTCAACATCTTATGTCTCTAAACTTATCTGTATAGCTCTGCGTTGTCAGGTACAGGAAAATTACCCTGAGGACCGGTGTTTGGACTTCCTTTGCAGGAAATCTGTTTAACTTTCCTTAGTGCAATTCGAACATAAAAGTTACCATTGCTAGTCCTTCATTTGGATGTACAGTATGTATGTACGAGGGGTGATCAAAAAGTTCGCGAACTAAGACTTGGGTTTTGATGGCCACCATGCTCATTCTGCAAAAGGATACCATTATCCACCCACACTATTGCAGAGGTTAGGCAATTTCTGACAAATGGACTGTTTTTGTTGCAAAAAATAACTTGCATGGTAAGAAATATAAGAGTCCAAATAAAATTTAAGCTTCTGTGACAGAAAGCTAAAGAGCATGTCACGTGATCGCCTATATTACGTGATCTGCGCATGGGCAGAATGGTTGCAGATGCGCATTAATATAGGAGAGGACTACTTTGAAACATTTTCAACACTAAAACCCCATATCATTTCCTTTTGGGAAGTTTAATATTCAATTAGTTCGCGAACTTTTTGATCAACCCTCGTATATGTTTTGCTGGACCTCTCGAAATACGTTGCTTCTCTCTACCATAATAAGATGACACATTTTCCTTTATTGCACATTTTTTTTAATTTATCTTATTTTTCGGCTATAGAAAATGCATCTATGGTTTTCCAATCCATCAAGCAAGTTTATCAAAAATTCTATTTTTTTTAAAAAATGTTTTAATAGACCGTTGGCACATTTAATATCTGTTTTCTTTTTCTAAGGCATATGAAAAAAGGCACCTATTTGAAAGATATATATATATACTTTATTTTCAGAATTCTGTAATATGCTGTGATAATGAAATGTTTAGTCTCTTAACAATCTTTCGGTGTACAATGTAATTAAATCTAGCATTTTCAGATATCAGTATCGATATGTTTGGTGTCCCGACCAGTTTGGTTGTTAAATTTTACCCTTTCTTCCTTTTGAATTATTGAATCCATAGATGAGAACTATACAGTGTTAAAGATTATTTCTTCCACATATAAAAGTCATATCTTATATATGAGTTCTATATTCTTGTACATTTTTCACATATATACGCTCTCAATTTCATAGTCTTGGCAGAGATCATTTATAAACAGTTTCAGCTCAGTATAGTGAGCATCTAACTTTAAAAGTGAATTTCTTTGCGAGTACAATAGTGTTTTCTGTGATTGTGAGCTCTTTAATAGGACTTTTCATCTGTGAAAAAATAAAATTATATACTGGTAGTTCTACAATTAATATAATATACTGAAAATTACATTACTTATTGAACGACCCATTGTGAAGACAAACAAATAGTAACAAAATTGTTTATTGGTAATCTCTATATAAGCTTTCATCTATAGGAATATATATAAAATCTTCTATGTGTACACCATTGGGATTTTTTTTTTATCATTATTATACCGGTGTTTCATAACAATTTTAAGAGTACCCCTTACAGATATTTGCTAAAGAAAAAATTGCCATGAATTCCCCTGGATGTATATTTGCAATACAGCTGTATAGCAAATTTTCATTCTACGGAAGAAACCCTCTTTTGCAAATATCCTGGAGCCAAATTATTGCTATAATTATTGCAAATTCCCCCCTTTACCGGTGGGAGTTAGTTGTGGTTCCTTTACTGGCTGACCTGTTTTGAAATTCCTAAGGAGCAGAATTTATTCGACAACTTCAGTGTGAGATGAAGAAAAATATTGGTGTGGTCTTCAACTCGACATTTTAATATACATGTATAAACGTTGTTCAAGTGTATTACCAATTCACACAACAGTCACTTTCATTCATATGTGCTGATTCGATATCCCATTGAACTTTAAATAAAAACACTACGGAAACGGTCACTTCTGTTTCTTATTTGAAATGCTATTAAGCCGATAACAGCAGACTAACAACTAAAATGTGACAAACCCTATGTGAAAAACGAGATGAATTCAATTTTTCCATCGTCAGCATTCCTTATATTTATGTACGAATATCCCGCTACCTCATTTAAAGTTGGAGTTTCCTACTTCTACATGTATGGTAGTTATTATGACCTCGTTAGCAAATATAACTTTCCATTGGGTCATTTCTGCCGACTTGTTTCATATTTATGGTTAGTCCTTTGTTTTATACTGAACTGGACCACGGAATGTTCCGTCTACCGGACAAACACTTACGGCCTGGACTGGTCAATAAGGGATGCTCTCTCCTCCTAGGAACCTGATCCCACCTCTGGAATTTCCAGGGGTTCGTGCTTTCATTTGTATGTATTGGAATAAATTCTATTCTATTCTATTCTGTATTGTCTGTATATTTGTTTGAGATCGATCACTGTTGGTTAACAGTTACTTCACTTTTACATGCATATTTATTAGAGAACCGGGATGTTTGAATTATAAAAGCTGTTCCCCCAAAAATTATTGTATCATTATTATATTGTTTGCAGCTAACATTCAGGTTTCACACTGAAATGTCCAACATGATACATTGTGAACAATATTGATGGAAATTTAGAATAAGAAATAGTTTACTCTCTTGGTCCTATGATAGATTTTTTGTGTCGAGAGTAAATAGCTTTAGTTGTGTTCAAGTTTTTGTTGTTGTTGAGAAATTTTAAACAGTTAAAAGAAGCAGAAAAATGGTGTCTAAGAAGGTGAAAAAGAACCTCATCTATATCAAAAAAGCAAATTCTTAAAATCCTCAAACAGCACTGGCTGGAGTAATTTAGCAAACGTCTGTTCACAAGCCCCAACTGTTCGTCTTTTTGTTCCCGATGTCCGATGCTCTCTCATGCTTAAAATCTGAAAATTAACTGACTGTTATAATATGTCCTTGGATGGCCGGACCGGCTTACAAATTTGGCAGTTTTGCGAATTAGGATAACATTTCACCAAACCGCAAAAACCAGCTATTGCAACTTTGACGAAATTTGTCTGTAAACAGGCGCGTATTTATTTAATTAGCATCCTACTCGACAGCGCAAACAAAGGCTTATTATTCAACATTTATCATAGAGCCTCGTTTAATACAAGAGAGCTTTAATGTGTATAAAATTGCTTGTTTTTGTATTATAATAAAATTTACCAATAAGAAACAAGCCTAGCGAGTTCAATCCATCTGCTTCAGAAAGCTCGCAAGATCTTGCAAGATATTTCTTTTCTTCTTGCTTTTGATTTTGTTGTGGTGATGCCAATATCCATAATATTGGCAAAACATGTTTAATATCAAGCATATCCAGAGTATTGATAGGAATAAAAAGAGAGAATTTAAAAAGGTATCTTGCTTTCTTTTTTTTTTTTTTTTTTTTTGAGTTTATTTCAAATTATACGTTTGATTATGTGTGTAGGAATTAATTCACAAAGAAAACTAGAATAAAATATTGATGACTTGAAATAAATAATACAACAGAGTCTGACACATCTCTATCATGTTTGTATATTTTGCTAACCAGAAATCAACAACAAAACTGTATGATAAACGTGACGAATTTAAATTGACTTCCGTTTATATCCTCCAGTCAGTTCAATATGCAAAAGCATCTCTAGCTACATACGGACATTTTCACAAACGAGACAAGCTTCTGAAAAACAAGTTGATGAAAATGGGATATCCATAGTATCATTTAGGCTATCATTTCGCAAGTTCTTTGGTATAGATACAACGACTTTGCCAGCAAATACAATCTAACATTTAGTCGAAGCTAACTAACACTTTTCATACCAATGTTGTAATGCCATTATTTACACACTTCGTCGTCTACGGATTCAGTTTCCGATTACCCGATCATGTGTAGGGGCACTGGGGGGGGGTATTGTTAACTTTTTATATCAATTTAAATTTACCACTGAGTGGTCATGCGGCATTGTTACAGAATGTATTTAGCATTTTCATTGAAAAATAAAGCTGAATTTGACCTTTTTTTCGTTTTGGGGTATTTTTGAAGTGTCGCACGAATCTGGTAATTATCTTAAACATTGCTGGATTACCATCTTGAAAATTATACTTTTTATAAGAGATTTTTTTAAAATTCATTTTGTTATTTAGCAAACGTTATATAATCTAACAAACCATATTAGGCACATGCATTATATTACCAACTACAAATGCCTAAGTTGCTAACATGGTCAAAAATTAACTCACGTCTATTATATTATAGGGAGACCTTAATACATGTATTTATTACTGAGTGAGTATTTATTTGTTTATTTATATTTATTTATTTTTATTTATTTATTTATTCATTTACTTATTTGCTTATTTATTCATTTATTTAAATTTTATTTTATTTTGATTTATTTTATCATATTTATTAATTTCATTTTTTCTTGTTTTAGTTTATCCTTTTTAACATAATTATGTTAACATCTCATTAAAAAAAATATTTTATTTATTTATCTACATTGTTTTTATTTTATTAGAGATTCCCGCCATTTCTATTTCCCCGCAATTTAGATTTTTTGTGATAAATACCTGAGATATTTATTTGGTAAATATTTTTTTTGATTTGGCTGAATTTCTGATATAAGAAAGCTTGGCGGATCGGTACATATGTACTACTGAAAAACTGTAAAGATCATAGGACATATATCCAAATAGGCAGGGATTTTTATGAAACTTTTTTAAAAATTTATTTTAGCTTCAAAATAAAATGTTATGTAGTTATGTGATAAATTTACAGTATTTCTTTTATTTTTCTTTTATAGGAATTTCATTCGGAAAAAATGAAAAAATAATAAGACCGGTTTAGAATAAAATTTTGTGATAAAAATATGTTCTAAGATTTTTTCAGTTGCACTTGTCCTTTTTTAATAGGTAAGGGACGATAACTCTTACCGCTTGACTTTACGTTGATCATGTGACTCAATTGCAAAATGGTAGCTGTGGAACCTAGCGAAGGTTAGAGAACGAAATGAAGGCATATCTAATGAATTGGAAAGAGAGTTAAATAAAGAGAAATGTCGAAAAGTAATGGCAGTTCGTGAAGTTAAAGTTTGTTTACTGGGGGTAAGGTTGTGAACAGTTCTGTTATGTAATGTAAACAAATACAAAACACCAAAAGAGAAAGTAAAGATTGATCAGTTGATTCATTATTGATATGATACCAAAACATGTGTTGTAAATATACATTATTTCTTACATTTTGTGATTTAGTTATAATCAATACTACTAAAAGTGTGTGAGTTTCTCCTAATTTTGAACAGAATACACATGTATCATTGTATGTTTCTGCAGGGGGGGGGGGGGGGGCATTAGGTACATGTATGTTTGTTGATGTTTACCTTTGATTGTTGACAGGATTCGGGAGTTGGGAAGTCCAGTATTGTTCTGCGATTTGTCAATGATTCTTTCAAGCCAGCATTAGAGAGTACAATAGGGTATGGATTTATTATGTACCTCAAACAAAAGTAGACAGTTCCCAGTGTACACTGTAACACACTGATACAGGATTTTTTAAAGGCCTACATGTAACATGTTGGGTACAACAGGAAATTCGAAAGTCAATTGTGTGTTCTAAAATTCAGACATGATAAACAGACTACAAACTAAAAACAAAATGTTTCTAAGATATGTTTTTACTCATATTTTAACAAAAAAAAATATTTTAGTATTTATTGCTTCTTTTTAGTGCTTCCTTTATGACCAAGAGAGTAGAGGTGTATGATGTATCGTATCAATTCCAGATATGGGACACGGCAGGCCAAGAAAAGGTAGGATCCAAATCAGAAAAAAGTGGATCTCAATTCAATAACAGTATCAAAATTAGTGGAAGGTTTTCTAATGGTCTTTCATAAATAAATGTACAAAATAGCAATCTATTAATGAAAAAAGATGTCAAAATTTGATGTAAACAAAGAATACATGTATGTAGTTAACTGTAAATGTATGATATATTGCTGTATGATAATTTGCACATATTGAATTTTCAGCAAGTGAGTCAGAGTGTAGATTTAATTTAGCACTTATTTTAGTTTCAGATATATGAATATACAATTTACATAGACAAGACAATTAGCGACATGTTCTTAATTTAGCCAAGGCTTTCCACGAAAGGCACTAAGGAGAATACAAAGCCAAATGTTATACATTTACAGTATAAAGAAAAATTAAATTGTTGATATAATTTGAAAATACTGTTGACAAATTCTCTTTGTTCCACAGTATAGGTCCTTGGCTCCCATGTATTACAGAGGGGCAGCTGCTGCCATCATTGTGTATGACATCACAAGGGAGGTAATTATCAATTGACCAACCAAATAATGTATCTTTATCCAAGAACTCCTGACACTTGATACCCAGCTAGATATAGCTGCATTTAGGAACAAAGTTATTTAACTGTTTCTAACAAAATTTAATGTTCATATGAAATATCTAAAATGATGAATATGTGAACAATAAAATCCATATTCAATTTCACAAAATTTCAGTTGTGGTTATGCTGGTATAAAATGTATCTGTTAATCAAAGCCAGTAAATTTTAAAAAAACAACTGCTTTCAAAGTGAAACAAAATTGGCTCAATATTTTCTATTCATTCTTATGATGAAAGTACATTGTAAGTGTGCTATTTTTATTACAGGCCACCTTTAGAACCGTTAAGGACTGGGTGAGGGAGTTAAAAAGAAACGGCACACCAGACATGGTGATAGCTATCGCGGGAAACAAAAGTGACCTTAATGACCTGAGAGAGGTCAGATATCGTGGTAAGTAAATATAAAATACATGATACCTGTCTAGAAATCTATTAAGCAATATGTGGCTATTAGGACATTGGAATGCATGCTTGAAGCTTTATTAGGGCATTTAGTGAATATAGCTTTAGTTTATTGGTTGCTTTCATTCAGTCAGTTGAAGTGTTGGTTGCAGGATAAACATATCTACAAAATGTATATTGTGAAACTTTATTTTAATAAGTTCTTGAGTTCACCAAGTAGGAATTATTTGGGGGATTATCATATGATCCCAGTGTGAGTTTTACTTTTGGAGACTTCATTTCCATGAATATATTACTAGTATATGGTTTATTAATCAATTTCTGTTTTCAGATGCTGAAGAGTACGCCCGGTCCATAGGGGCCCTCTTTATTGAGACAAGTGCTCTGTCAGCAGTTAATGTACCACAGCTGTTTACCGCAATAGGTTTGTAGTGGCTGTATTGTCTTTTTTTTATACGCCCGTCTTAAGACGGGACGTATTATGTTATAGGCTTCATGTCCGTCCGTCTGTCCGTCTGTCAGCAAAACTTGGTCATAACTTTAATACTACTAGGCCTAGGATTATCAAACTTTGTCATCTGATGCATCTTGGGTAGAAGGTGTGTCGTTATAACCATATAAAAAATATAGCCAAATTAAATTTATATAACTAGAAAACGATAAGACCTACAATCATCAAACTTGGCCAGTTTATGCATCTTAGGTATATCACTGTGACCTTTAATTTAAGTGATTTTTTAAAAAGAAATGTGTCTTTTTACTATTCATTTACACATCCCAAATAATGTAAGAGTCTTGCACTGTTCTTATTAAAAAAGTGTTAAATTTTAAGAAAATACTTATTTTTTCTAAGCATATACTTGACAGCAATCTATAACAAATATAATGTATGTCAGAGAAATCCTGCCTCTCCCATGAGTGTAATTATCAAGCACTCAAGAAGAATTTTGATAACAGAAAATTGCATGTCAAATTAGAGAGAAATTAATGGGTTTTGAGTGCGAGGAGCCAACAGACAGAACATTGTTTACTCTATATCCCTTAGTATTGGGCAAATGGGTAAGCCTGTTTGATTAAAAATAGCTTTTGTTGTAATTTTAAAATGAATTTGATGAAAAGTAATGAAAACTAATTTGATTTGCATAATAGACTAATCTGATATTATGTAATATTATTAATTTTAAAAATAATTTTATGGGGTGGCATGGAATCAGCATGTCCATATTTACATATTATAAACCTACTTTCTGTACCCCCCCAAAAAAAATCAGTATTTTATATGTTTTTAAAAAAAAATTATTAGTACCATTATCTCTTGGTAGTAAAGACAACAAGCATTCAGTTAAAGATTAATTTTTCAATGTTGGAAGGCTAGCTGTCTCAGTCGTTCTGATTAAGCTGTATCCTTTGGGGATTAGACAGAGGAGCTGTTGGTCATTTGATGGCCTAGTCTTTTCTTTTCAAAATTAATTTCATAGATTAAGTTGTTAAGACTAATTTGATGATGGGCATTTGACAAGGTCTAACACAACCAGCACAGAAATCTATCGGTGATGTAATATTTATTATAATTGATGCCTACATCACAGGGGATGGATAAATATTTTAAGGAATGGAAAAATCATCAAAATTAGAATGATTGATGTGATTTTCTTGCACCTAAACTGTTCAAGAAAATTGTGTAATTTTTTGACGGGCGTATCATGCTGTGGCGCGGCACTTTATTTTAAATACATTATAAAGAACATAGTGTAGGCTCTAATGATATGGCACATTAAGTAAACACTTATGCACCACTAAATTTGAAGTGTCTCTGAGTATGATACTGTGATATATCATTACAATGTCAAACATGACCTACTTTCAGCTGATGGACTTCCTCCCGAGGACCCGGTGTCTGCCCGACCAGGAGGTACTATCCACCTACGTCCCCAGGACAAAAACGCAGAGACAAAGTCATCCTGTTGTGGATCCAAGAACAAGCCAAGATGACCAAGTGATCTTTAGAGAAATACCTCCTATCATAAAATTTTTATACACGATCATTTTTTTTTATTGAAATCATGAAGATTTTTAATTTATATATAATCTCATACAATTGAACACATTTTAGGCATAATGTGAAAAAGTGAAAAAGATGCTGTATTTGAATATAATTACAAGTTAGTGCATGTATTATTTCTAGTGGTGTTTGAAACACATTTATGCTGTATATTGCTACTTGTGCATCTAGACGTTTGTTTATCAGCTGTTTTTTAATGAAAGTCTCTTTAGAGGTTTATTTGATATGCACTTAAAAACCAAGTTATGTTAGGGTTTAATTGATATAAACATTTTTTCCATGGAATCATAATTTCAATTCAATACATTGGTGTAAAATTACCAGTACATAGATTATTTTTTAATGCACTTTAGGTACACTATGACAATTTCAGTGAAAAATTTGTAACTGTGTACAATACATCTACAGTACTTGATAACAGATAATAATTATAAATTTATAATATATATTTAAGCAGATTAGAACTTAAAACTTTGTTATAATAACCCTTTTCAATCAATTGTCCAAAACTTTCATACAATGGTTCTAAAATGAATATAATTGCTTGGAGAGGGGGGGGGGGGTCAACTATAAATTGAACGTTTTAAACCCTAATGTCTTCCAATTTCTTTTGTTGTGTACATTTCTGTTCCTCTTAAATACTTGTGTGTTAATAATATAGGTATATAAAAAAAAAAAAGAACACTAGTTTTAAGGAAAATTTTAAGAAATAAAAATGGCTAAAGAGTTTTTTCGGGAAAAAGCTTGGGGTTATAAGTTTGAAAATTTCTTTAAATAAGTAAGTAGAAATGGCATTATTTAAATTTTTATTTACTGATTTTCTTTGATTCCACAAATTAAAAAAAAAACTTACAGCTAATTTAGTAATATTCTAAAAAAGAAAACCTTTTACTGCTAATTTGGTTATTCATGAAATTGGTGGAAGTGGTACTTAAGTGAAATTGTAAGAATTGTATTTCTTGCAAGATGTCAGTATTTGTAATGTACAGTTCAATGCATGGAAAAGGATACATTAATATTTACATACTATCTTAATGGCTGTTATAAAACCTCTGTTTAACAGAGAAGGACTATGCAGGGTTGTATTATAATGTATATCCTGCAATTTTTATTACTATTTATTATCAGACATTCCAATGACCCACCTTGACTTGGTTTATGTTTTTAAAAAGTTTTTATATGTTGTACTTCTATTTTAAACCTTTAAAAATAAACAAACATGAAGTTTTGTTTTATTTTTTTCATGACTGACATTTTTCCCTCTCAATTATGAGTCCTTGTGAAGGGCCACTGTGGCACAGATTAATTAAATGACTGATTGATTGATTGCATGTTGTTTAACGTCCCTCTCAAGAATTTTTCACTCACATGGAGACTCCACCACTTGCAGGTGGAGAGCTACAAATTTTGTCCTATGCTCAGCACTCAGGGCCATTGGGCAGTAAGAGATCTTTTTTGTGCCAGCACCTACTGCGAAATGGGACCTTGGTCTCCACATCCCACAGAGGGATTCAAACCCGCAACGTAAGGATCAACTCCTTACTTTGCTACTCCAGATCAGACACTCTAACCACAAACCACTGCACCACGCAGGCAACGATTAAGTAAAGGAGTTGATGCACAATATTTTTCAAACCATTTTTCTTCAATAGACATGAAGCATCATTTTTCAAAGAGGGAGTAGGCTGAAAAAAAGAAAAAATAAACACCAGCCATACACACCAATAAATCACACAAAACTTAACAAAAAGTTGTAAATGTAGAAATGCAGAGAAATCAAAATCTCTCTTTATATATGATATATGTGCAAATCTGTGTGATTGAAATACATACCAGCCTTATTTTGAATCACACAAAACGTTTAATTAAAAACATTCACATTGATACTGAAAAAGTAAAATGTTAAATCATACACTGTCCAAGAGCTATCAATTTAAATGGGTCCTAGAATAAAATGTGTAAAAATAAAGAAAATTTAAAAATTAAAAAAATTCTGGCAAAAAAACTAAAAGGTACTTGTACATTATGTTTGTGGAAGATGAAGCACATCTTAATATTAAATACAGTACGTATATCATCTCCCCCACTAGAAAAAAGGTGCAAGATTTTGATGTCATTTTTATGCACTGGAGGAATCAAAACTAAGCAAGGTTTATGATTATACGTATTTTACGGTATTTATTTTGTGATTATGTACATTGATAGTCTTCATTATGAAGACTATTACAAGCTATAGTCTATAACTGCCATCATTCACTATAACTGCCATCATTCACTTGGTTGTAAAAGTGAAGGTTCCACGTACACAGGTTCTTTCTCTTCCATTGCAAGATAAACATCCTCCGTGTCTGGTGTCTGATTTGAAGACGATTCTGTCTCATCAAAGTCAATCAAGTCTTTTTCCTCCTGAATAATCTCAGTTTTATTTTCAACATTCCCTTCTTCTGTGGTTTCTGTTTCGGAACTGTTAGAATTTCGGCTTGCTGAGTTTCTCGAGTTCTCTGCAAAACTTTCCATAGCTCCACTATAACGCGCTATATTTGGAAAAGGGTTATTTGGCAAAGTGTTTTGTGTTCCATCGGGTTTTGTAAATTTAACTTGTGATATTCCAGTGCCGTGCTGATTGTTTTTAATTTCTTCAAAACCGAATGGTAACATAACGTCCAAAACCGGCACCTTCTTGGACAGGTCTGGAATATCCTCACCTAGAAGATCCACAACCGACGCTTGCTTTGTAGGGTTCAAAACCGGAAGCTTTTTCGAAGATATATATGAAGCTTCTCCAGTAAGAAAATCTTTCGAAATGTCATCTTGGCCTTTCTTTGACGATGGTTTAGAATCGATCACCTCTGTCTCAGGCGGAAGTGCTGGTGTTTGAATTGAAACGTTGGATTCATAAAATCGGTTACAATTGGCTTTTGCTGTACGATTCAGAGGCCATGTTTTGATTGAAGAAATTGGAGATTCGGTGTTTTCTTTTTCAGCTTCTGCTGGTATAGTCTCGTATAAATCTTGATCATACTCTGGTGTATTTGTTTCAACAACATTTGCATTTCTTTCAACACTAGCGTAAAGATCATTACTACCCGTATTTTGTCCTATGGGCCAACTAGCAATTGCTGCTATTTCATGCTCTGTATCTTCAGAATCTGAACTTGACGAGGATGACCGATTGTTTCCAAAGGCAGGGAAGGAGACCCTTTTTCTTTTCGGGACTTTTAACACTTTTCTCGATGGAGGTAAACTTGCAGGGCGTTCGGGGAGACTTGGAGGGACCTCCTCTGGGGGCTTATCGTTCATCCCCAAAAACTTGTTCAAGTCTTTTCTGTATTTATCAAGGTCTTCATACTCACTTTCCATATTTGCATATCCAGTTTCACAGGCAACTGTCTTGGTAGGTTCGGAGTTTGAACGTTCGTTTTTGGGTTCATTGAAGCACATACTCTCTGGCTGAGAAAACGATCTAGTAAACCCAGAACTTCCACTCTCGGTGACGACGATTGCCTCTGGAATAGAGACCCTTATTTCTGAATACGAAATAGCACTATCAAACGATTCTTTGTTTCGATGAACCTGTTCGTCTGCCGTGGATGGCTGGTAACTTGAAGGACAAGAAACTCCCGAATCGTGTGATTCGATGGAAGCTGAACGTTTCTCTTCTAAGTTTTCACTAGCCATATGCATATCACTCTGTGCGTTGTGATCTTCGGTTGTACCTATGCATGGTCTTTCGTTAACATTGGGAGAAATGTTCTCGGTTACATCTGAACTCGATGTAGTCTTTGGAATTTCAGATTCCTTTGCACCAGTTTCACATTCCTGGTTGTCTCTGTGTTTAATATTAGCTGGTATGTGACTGTAGCCATGGCTGTCTAACATGACTTCCAATGGTTTAGAACTATTTTCTGTTGCAACACAGACTTTAGCAACTATTTCTGGTTTTATCTCCAATTTGGCTTTATCTTTTAATGTCAAAATATCATACTGGTGTGGAGATTTATCCGACTGAACATGCAGAGAAAGACTTCTTGTGTGTGAATGCGAGTTTTCTTCAGACCTTTCTTCACTAATGTTACTTCCGAGTGTTAAAGAATTACATCGAACTCTAGAGAAATTATCATTCTTTTCTTGCCAGCAAGCAGTTCTCTCCAGAGCGCTTTTGATAGACAAGGTTGGGGAGTTGGTTACAGGACTAGATACTGATTTGTTGCTTTCTGCAGAAGACGAAGCTCGACTTCTTTGTCCGGAATTCGATAAAATGTTGTGAAATCCTCGCTCCATCGACATAGTTCTGTCCCGGGAATCCTGACTCAGACAAGATCGCCTTTTCCTCATTTCGATTGCCTTGTTGATGTTTGTCTTGATCGCCTGCAATATTGCATGTACCAGTGTCGTCTGGAACTCGAATTTGGCTTCTCCACAGCTAGCTTTCCTACAAAAATTATTTATTAAGATAACTATTCCAAAGGTATCAATTCTTCAGAGAATAATAAAGACTGATTAAACGTTACTTACGCCCCACTTTCTATAAACAGGATGTTCTGTCTGCTTGTATCCATGTAGAATCGCTTCAGACAGTCCAGCCTCCATTCCATTCCAGTCTGTCCATTGGTCCCTTCTATAGTAATCACTTCTGGAGATACCACCATTAGGTATTCCCCATGTAAGTTGCAGCGCTTAGCGTCATCATTTGAAACGACAGCAACAGGGAATCCATCTTAAAATGGAATACTTATTATGAAAGCATGAAAGTCACAGCATGAAATGATTGATCAAATCGGATTGCTATCCTTTTTTAAAACTTACCCTGTTCTGTTACTCTCTGGTTTGGCAAGAATATTTGTTTGAAGGCCAATATCCACTGATCTGTTTCGTGTTGTGTCTGTGCACATAGAACAAGGATTGGTGTGCTTTGTACGATCTGGAATGCCAGTTTGTGAGTTTTGGAAGAGCATGGCTCAACAGCTGTGACATTTTCCAAAAGATATGTCTGTTTGTCGGCAGATGGAGGATTTGTTTTTGAGGAAGCCTCGTTCAGAAAGAAATCTAGTTTTGCTGCTAGAGTTCCAGATGCTAAATTGCTCATTTCCTGCATGACAGCCCATTTTCTTCTCCATGTCTGAAAATAAATAATTCTTTTTGATATTTGAGATTATTTTGTAAAAATTAAATGAAGTGAAATTATGTTTTATTTTTACTTAGTAAGTACTGTATATCTATATGTCCTAATTACTTGAAAAAAAATCTAGAGGGCTAGATTTTACACTGTAAAAATTGTGTTTAGGATTTAAACACTTCTATGACGTGTTTAGATCTAAACATGTATAGAAATATGTTTAACAACTAAACACTTATGTCTAAACTTGTTTTATATCTAAACGTATTTAGAAATTAAACACGTTCTGCTGTAAAATGCAGAGTTACGGAAATGACACAAATACTCGTATATTTGACGTTAATTTGCCATCGAAACAAAGTAAATTTAAGGGACGTATCAAGGAGAGATACTGACAACCCAATGGATAAACATGGAGAAATATTGAAAATCATTTGAAAGGCATCTTTTTGCTGCAATATATTAAAGGTATGTTTTCTTTTTATTAATTTAAGATTTGCATTATTAAACAACGATGAGCAATGTAAACATTGCTTGAGGTCGTTTATAGACTTGTAGTTCCAATGCAACTTGAAAAATTGATGTCAATGGGCAGCATACGGTACTTTTACTTAAAAGTCTGACTTTCTTTCCTACAGGTTATGTGAGTGGTCCGGATTGAACTCAAAGCATGTACGTATCAAAGTACCTGCATCTGTGCATGGCGTCATCTTCAAGTGCAAATTGTTGTTCCGTGACCAACACTAAGAAACGTATATTTTAAGAAGTGTATTGGGCTACCCTTAATTCGACAATGTTCGGTGGATTTGAATACATGTACAGTACCAGTACCTAAAATTATCATTTTGTGATTATCCTTGTGCATTTGAAATGGATTACTTTTCAGCAGTTTAATACTGATGGGATATTATATCATGTGGTGCTATGTAGTGCTTTAGGACTGCTGAAGTTATATTGATGACTGACATATTGAACACTCTGCAACCGATTGACACTGTAATTAATCATGCAAAATATTATATGAAATAGATATTTTATAATTTTAATTAAAATATCTTTAATAATGCATTATTAAAAAGATTAAAGGAAGTTTTGATATAAAGTTGCTAGCTTATTTTATTTTTGTTGCTCATCCCTGCGTTATAAATATAATGTATATCATGCTGATAGAACTTATAGAGATAAAAATATTAAATTTGTGTAAAAAAACAGCACACAATTGTTAAGTATCTACATATTTAAACAATCAGAGGCCTTATGATGAATAATTTATATCCGTGAATTTTTTGAAAATTTTGACAATATTATGTGGATTAAGTAATATGCTCTTTATGCCATTAAAATTTACAAGTGTTCATACATGTAGTTTTTCTGCAGCTACACTTGTTTTAATATGTTAAATCTAGATATGTTGAATTTCTAAGCACATAATTAAGAAATGTGTTTAAAATTCAAAATGCCAAGCACTTTTTTTCACCTTCTTTTTTATATGTTGAAAAACATGTAAAATTTCTAAACATGTTAGAAAGTGAGTAAACACTTGAGTGCTTAGATTTAAACACTTTCTCAAACGTGTTTAGAAACTAAACATGTTTAGGAATTAAACATATAAAAAAGAAGGTGACAAAAAAGTGTTTAGAAAAGTGTTTGAATTCTAAACACATTTCTTACAGTGTAGACAAAGAGATTTGACCCAGTAACCTGCGTTTTGGCAACAGCCTCAAGTACATATACATAGAAATTGGCTTTAATCAATTGCAACTGTTATCAGTGTGGAGATATGTAAATTAATGGATACATGATATGTACGTGAATTTGATAAAGAATGAAAGGGGAAGGACAATTCATCGGGGTCTGTTATGTATTGGTCGAGCGATCATTGTTTTTGTTTACTCAGTATCTTTCATATACATTTAGTATCTATAGAAGACAAAGTTATGTAAACTTAAGAATACAAATTTTATAGAGCGTAAAATTAAAGAAAAATTTAATTATCATAAAACCAAAAAGAAGGATAATATGGAGAGCGCAATTTTAGGAAAATCAAAGAAATTTTCCTCAGCATTTTTTTTCTCAAGAACAGCAAGGCTTAACTGTATTGTCGTTGAGAGGTAGATTGTGATATCCAGGTTTCAATGGGGTTTAGGTAGTATGAGAGTGTCGCTTAGCTTTTGTTTACTTCGTATGAACAACAAACAAAGCAAATCTTTGAACAAGGCAAAAACACGGACCCTTGAAAATACCAGAGGTTCGATCAGATACATTGAAAGAGGAAGCATCCCCTATAAATCCGCCATGGAGATCGTGAACCCTATGTATTGATTAAGTAGATGAAACATTCCGTAGCATCCACAAGTCATTTTACGTTATTTATTACGCTATGTGACAGTATACAAAACTACCAGATTTAAAAAGCGTATTTAACACATTTTCGTGTCTCTAACTTCAAAAAATCTAATTGAACTGTAAAGATAAATTGTTAAACAATCTAAAAATTATAATTTTGTAATTTTTTATCGCTGTATTTTGTTTAAATTTCTTTCAAATGTTCAAGCATGTTCTGAAATAAAACGTCACGATTTTAGCGCGTCGTAAAAACCGCATTCTTTTATTCCGCTGTTTATTGGACAACGGAGGATATATTCAGATTTCTTTGTACAGTGGTAGATACAGCTGATCATTCTGAATATAATGATACCAAACACAACTAGCCAGATTCGTATATTGCTATGATCATGGATAGTCAAATGTAAGCTTTTTTTCGGAGAGTTTTTTCACTCGTTTGACGAACCGGTTGCATATGTGTTACAATAATAGATCGAAAGAGAATCTTCTCCTCTTTAGGAAACTGTGTAGATTTATTTTCCTTACATCGGCGCTAAAAAGCGATCCTTCAAATAACAACACCACATATAGCCAGCGTGAATGATATTTGACGTCATTTTCACGCCTTTCACGATTCCTGGAAACTGTTTTGTAATGGAGTTTGTTTACTGTAACTATAGAAATATTCAGAGGGGGATAACTCTCGATGTCTTTTTTATGGGGTACCCGAAAGGGTCATTTTAAATATAATAATTTTTTTTCTAAGAAAAAATACTAATTAAACATGTCAAAAATATAATAAAACATGGAACGATGATTAGAACTGAAAAAAAACTTCTATAAAGTAAAACTGACGTTATAATTTTGAAGCAGTAAGAAATAAAATAAAAATGTAAGAAAATAAGTATCTAGTGTAAAGAAAAAATACAATAGCCTTCTGATTTTTTAATTAAAAGAAATGTAAATAAATTCAATAATTGAGTTCATAAATAAATTAGCCTTTTTATGATATGTTAAATTCTTGAAGACTGTGCTTACAAAATTCATGTCACAAAAATTTTTGTAAGGTTTGTAAAGTACATGGGATATCTTTTTATAATCATAACGTTCATTTTTTCCATTGATATACAGTTTATGTCTATACATTGGCACTGTTTTGAAACTTAACATATATAGTTTTATTTTTATATACAACACAAATATATTGGTAAAAATATAAGTATTTGCCAGGAGCTCATTTTTTTTCAAGAGACATGCCTGGTCCGAGAATTTTTCGTTTGACAGCGAGGGAAGTAAGGCTTACAAAAATTCTAGAATCATTTTCCATGGATGTAGATCATATGCCTTTAATTATGTTGTGTAAATATATATTATATTTGACTGGTAAGTACTATTTCTAAAATTTCTAAGTATTCTTGATTAAAAACTAGCAATAAATTATAGGCGTGTCAGAGCATAAACGTCGGAAGCAAATAGAAAGTGGGGTGACTAATTGAAAGTTCGGGGGGGGGGGGTCTAAAACAATGAAAATGGTAAACCACAATTTTTTTGGCTATATAATATCTATCTTTGCAAAAAAAGTGGGGGGGGGGCTAAGCCCCCAAGATCCCCCCCCCCCCCGGGTTAGAACTATGTAGAGTATGAACATATGGATGGGTAGATGGATAGATAATAAAAATCAAATAGGCAAAATAATATAACTGATGCATCAATGGAGTCTTGAATAAACATTTAATCAAGAAAATTAAATTTGTGGTCCCCCCAGCTGCATTTCATTTCCGGAATTTTTCATTGAGAGCTTCTCGGATGGCTCATGCATTGCACCTCGAAGATATGAATGGAGCGAAGCGGAGTCAGCCAAGGATTGCCAATTGGGAAATTTTCGATATTTTCAACTTTTCATGGCCGACATGTTTTAGTTTTCATTTCTGTCATTTTAAAATTTTCATTTCTGACTCTTTACAGATTGTGCTTTTTGGTAAATAAAACAGGATTGAAGATTCACTTATGAAAAAATTCATTTGCGCAATAAGAATAAATTAAAATATTTACATTCACTGTGTTTTTCTACTAAGCCAACTGTGAAATTGATTTGAAAATCATTTTCGTGTATACTCACGTATAGAAATATACACGGAGACTTAAAAACATTCCTTAAGTATATATCAAATGTCTTGGACAAAGGTTCGGTCCAGTCATTGACATCTAATTTAGTGAAAACTGCATGCTCATTGAGTTCTTTGATGTAATCTTAGTGCTGCATGTACATATGTACTATACATGTACGTGTATATACAAAACGTTTATTTGTTTTACCGGCTGTTTGTGTCTTTGTGGGTGATATGTCATTATTTATGGCATATTGTGCCAAATATGAACGAAGTTATAACCAAAGTTGTTTTATTTGAAAATTAGGTCAAACATAAAGGTCAAGATCAAAGGGGGTAAAAAATCTGTGCTGAAATATTTTGACACACATAATGAACTTGTCTAATAAGAAAGCCTTATCTCTTCTCAACCAAAAAGTTATAAGGGGAAAATAAAAGTATGTCAAATGTCAAGGTTCAAGGTCACAAGGTCAAAATCCATAGTGTATCAAGAAACGGTAATATACATATGAAATGTGAAAGCCGTATCTTTTCCATCGTCACAAACCACGACTAAAATGTACTGTCCTCTACAAAAATTTGAATTTTCAAATAAAATTTGTCATATACAAATTTTAATTGAAAAATTCAAATTTTTGTAGAGGACAGTACGATCCTATCACATAATAGTAAGCGAACTCCGAACAGTGGCTTGTGACTATATATATATATATGGATCTTTTCTCATTCAAAAGATATGACCAAGGTTCAAGTTTTTGAAAAGTAGGTCAAACTTCAAGATCAAGGTCATGGGGTAAAAAGAAATTATAGTGTATTTAGAAAGGTATTGTCACAGTTAAAACGCATGAATTAAATACAAAAATTCTCTTCTCTGTTCTAATTCAAAAGATATGACCAAGGTTAATTTTTTATGACATACGAACAGATTTAGTCTGACTGACAAACGGACAGACGAATAAGATTAAAAGACTCCTCGCTTTCGCGAAAGCTGGACAAATCAAATGTTTTACACGGGATAAAGAGAGGGAGATAGAGAATGAGAGAGAGAGAGAGAGATAAAAAAAATAGAGAGAGAAAAAAGGGAAAGAAAATGATAAAAGGCTTTAATAATTCACAAACAACCTTTAACACACATTAGAAAAGATCTAAATGTTTAACTTAATGTCGTTCAAATAAATTTTTAATTACCCCCCCCCTCTTTTTCTCTTTCAGAATTTATTATATGCTGCTGTCATATTTATGATTAATACTCCGCAAAAAATTTTTTTTATGTCCAGTTCAAACATAATTGTTTGAAGTATTTTTTAATTACATATATTTAATTTATTCAGATAATAACTCTCCGATACCTAATCTAAATAATTTAAGATTTACATCACGCTCCCAGTCAATACTCGTTCCTGATCAATTCTCCGCATCATATCATATGTATTTGTATGAAGAATTTAAAATGCAGTTATTATTATTTTTTAAAAATAATTTACATCAAAATTTCATGATTTTTAGTTTCCTTTGTATAAGTGGATATCACTCCAACTCTCTATAAATCCCATGCGCCGATCCAGGAGTTAAAGGGGCGCCAAAATATAGGCAGGGTCTGGGCGCCGCCTCGAGGCGAAGCCCCCGGAAGGTCCCGGATTCTAGATTTTGTAGGTAAATTTGATGCCTACCGTGTAGACATTTTTACATTTTCTCGACGAAACTATGATTTACGCTAACTTTGACAATTTTAAGGGTGCACCCCCCCTTAAATCCGCCACTGAATCCTGTAATTGCATGCGTTGTGCCTAACCCAAAGATTAATTTTACAAAAACATAAAAACAGTCTTTAAATTTCTAGAGATTCTAGAAAAATCAGCTTCCAAACAAAAGAACTTCCAATATTTTTAAAAGAGTTGACCCAGGGGTTTTAGTTGTGTTGAATTCAAATTCTGAATATTACAGTTTAAATCGGATTGAGCTTTTGTTCAGCTTATTTCTTTTGCGTAACATTGAATTTACCGTTATAGTTTACACATAATCCCAGGTAATAAAAAAGATAGTTGACAATTTCCAAAATTTCATGATTATAAGTCCATGAAAAACTATCGCTTCCTCTTGTCCTGAATACTTAAATTTTGGTTTTTGCGGTGTAACGAGTCAAGTATATTCTATAATTCTTCTCTTGAGTTACAGTGTAGCGAAAACATGACACTATTTAACACGATATATATAATCTAGTAAATCATGCTTTTTTGTAGGTTTTCAATTGCTATGCCATGGAATAATAATAGATATAATTTAGTATTTTTGCTTTATTTAAAAATAATTTGTGATCATTTTTATTGATTGGATTTGTTGACGTCTTATTATAAGCATAACGTCAACGTAACGTTGCGTGTCTTGTATGACCCAATTAATTATACAGGAAGAAGACTCTCACTATCTAACGATTCAGGTCAATCTATGTGCTTGATGCAATTGAACTTTAATAATTCTGGTTCTGGGTAAAAGAAAAAAGAAGAGAGAGAATATATTTTGAATTTATTACTTACGGTTTTGACCTCGATGATACAAGATATTTTCTTCAGAAAAGTGGTCACACACTATGGCAATACCGTTACATTTTGCAATCTATTTTTAGTAACAATGCTTCACCAGAAAATATAAAAATTATTTTTTTCTTAAATGATTTTTAATAAGCTTTGATTTGATATATAACACAAGCGGCAAATACTAAATATAAAATTTGACTTGTGGATGCTACATTCCGTAATCAAATTTATTACAAAAAGAAATGCTTATTAATTGGTTTGAAAAAAAAAATCAGCAAAATACGACCCATGCAATAATGTTGACTGTTGCTACGCAGGAGGGCGTGGCTTCATTATTCAGCGGGTAATAGTGCTTTTTAGTAAATGTTTCTCGATGAATCAGATTCAAGTAATTTACATGAAAGTATAATATTAAATGTTATTTGCTAACAAGTTCTTAATAACAACCATAATTTACGAAATGCCGACTTTAAACAAAGTTGATGAAATCCCTGAAACATCAACATATCTGTGTGTAACCTGTTTCAGTTTATAAATTGATCGTATTTGGAGAATGCTTTTGGGTATCGATTAAGTTGGGAGACATCTGATAGCGAAATATTCCTTAAAAAATAACGCTGACAATGCAAAAGCTTAAGTCTATATTGTTTGTCAAACAATTTAGTGATCATTTTTAATTGATGACTTTAAACTGTTTTAAAAATAAGATCAATGTTATATCTCATGTTGTAATAAGAATACTTGCCAATTCAATTCAATTCAATTTATTCACTCAAAACCATGTAAATGATACATGAGGTACAAAACATATAAAACATATATACATATAATACAGTGGGTCAAGCAGAGGATACACATATGCTAAATAAATTCTCAGTATCAGTTAATAACCTTGGTCCTGACTATGATTCAGTAAGTACTTGTTTATTTCACATCATTGAGTTTTCTTCTATAATTATTCCAAGAAAAAAAATTAAAATTCTTTACTTACATACAAATAAACACATAAATATAGTTAAAAAATAGATCAAGCACCATGGTTGAATCTTACATAATAAGTCAATAGTTTCAATTTATTTTTTGTGTACTTATCAAACAGAGGTATATGCACATAATCAAGCAAAAATGTTAAACCAATATACTAGTAATGCCTTTGTTACACAATAAATTTATAATTATAACTTATATATATATTTTCTCCTGCAAAATAATAGTTTGATATATTTTTCTCCATTTATATGATAAATGGTCTACTTCAAGAGATTAACACTGTTTTTCTTTTTTATTTAAAACCATCAACTGTCTACCTCACTGTTTCATTTCTAAATTATTTGTTTATAATTATATAAACACGGTGTACCTCAAGTTTTCTTTTTAATATTTCTTTATGATTATAAATGATCTACCTTAAGTTTTCTTCCTTTAATACACGAGGGTTCCTTAACCTCCAGATATCCACATTTTTGCACTCCCTCCATTCAATACCCGTGTGCAAGTCTCGACGGTTCGTTTGATAATAGTTCCCCTATCTCTTCTGCATTAATATGCATTATGAAAATATACCTGCATGAGATATCCCCCCTTAGCTGTATCGACCCCTGGTTATCACCGACTGTGGTAAACCAGGTTTAGTGTACGTACCAGTATAAGCTGTGAACGACAGAGGGAGATTTACAATTACGTATTTAATAAGAAAGATTAATACAAGAAATTAAGTTGGAATTTCATGAATTTTTAACTTTTATCTATCTATAAATATCAATAACATTTTGCCAAATGTAAACATTAAGAATGACAACTTCGAGTTGGAAACCAACAGAATTTACGTATATATAAATCTATTCCTTTTATCTGGATAACGAAGAAGCCACAGTAGTTATTTTATTATCTACGTAAAATATTGGCATATAAAAATAATATTTTGGGAAACATTTTTTTTAAAAATATATTTTCATTTTTTTTTTACAGAAAAAAATTGGATTCCCCCACCCCCCTATGAAACCGAAAATTCCGAAACCCTGTTGCACTTCTACAAAAAGCATCAATTATCTTCCAAAAGATAATTTCATTAAAATGAAAAATGTAAGATAAAGTTTTTGGAACCATGGTTTTAACCCCCCCCCTCCCCGTTCGGTCCCTAGGTTAAAAAAATGAATATTACAAAAGTTTATGACTGCACATTTTAACATATTTCATATTGCAGATTTTATGTGGATGCTCAATGAGGTTTCGGCATTTTATCTTCAGGACATAACAACCAAATTCAAAGAATTGTGGTCCCCCGCTTTCGGAGTCTTTGATGGTGAGATTTCATTTTTTATGGCATATTGTGTCAAATATGAAGGCCCTTTCATTTGTCATTCAGAAGTTATCACCGTTGTTGATTTATTTATTTATTTATTTATTTATTTATTTATTTATTTATTTTTTGAAAATTAGGTCAATTGTGAAAGTCATGGTCAAGGGGTCAGAAATCAGAGCATGCTCGGAAATATCTTGTCACAGGAAATGCAGACGTCAAATATGAAAGCCCTGTCTCTTCGATCTATAGGAAAAATCAACATTTTTGAAAATAAGGTCAAAATTCAAGGATATGGTCACAAGATCAACTAGAGGTACTGTGAGCAATGAGCTCACTAAATGATACTCCCGCCTCCCATATGAATATGATGGCAGTATCCATGTTTTGTTGTGGGAAACCCAAAAATTAATGTGTCGGATCAGGGATCTATATACTAACGTTAGTATATAGGTCCCTGGTCGGATCAAAAACTAAAATAGGAGTGTGCACAATGGCAATATGTAAAGAAGATACTGTCGAAAGTCTCATCAAATTTCATCCCATGGTATGAGAGGAGTTGCAGATAAGAGATGGGTACTCCAGAGCATAACAAGCGGGCAGACGGACATCCCGATTACTATATAACCCAGCTCCCGCTTTTCAACCAGAGGCATAAAAACATAGTGTAAATTTTAGAAGGGTCTTGTCACAAGCAATACACATATGAAAGCCATATGACTTCTCGTTCAAAAGTCATGAGCAAAGTTTAAAGTTTTTGAAAAGTAGGTCAAAATTCAATGTCACGAGGTCAAAAATCACACTGTTTTTAGAAAGGTCTTTCCACAGATAATACACATCTTTAATATGAAAGCCCTGTCTCTTTTCATTCCAAAGATATGACCAAGGTTAAATTTTTTGTGACGGACAAACAGACTGACAGACGAATGAATGAGCAATTAATATCGTTAGGCTTATCTTATTTCTCGTCTATATGGTGCATAATTATTCTGGTAAAATTATAGTACAATAGTGAAACACTTGTACATTAGATTTTAAAAATTATTGTAAAGTATTTGGATACCCCCCCCCCTTTTTTTCCACTTCCAACCAAGGCGGAAGAAGGGGGGGTGACAAAGAGGAATAACTCTTACCGGAAGTAACGTAATCAATATAAACATGGCAGATGATGAAAAATCCCCACTGCTGCAATCTTCAGATGATGATGAAGGCCCGCGACTCAGACACAGCCACACCTTCCCCACCACACACCGGAACTTGGATCTAAGTTCTGTCACACCCACAGAGGAGGATCACATTGTCTGTGTGTTCGTTGTGACGTTTGACACACGGTCAGGTAAGTTGGGATGCTTGCTGAGATCACAGAGATAGACCTTTCATCTGTTTACTCTGGGTAGGCTTATGAGAAAATTAGTAACATTTTACAAGTGAAATAATTCAGTTGCATAATGAATTATTAGACTGAAATACCCAACGAAACTTAAGTATTATGAATAATAATTCATGTTATGATACTTGATTCAAATTTCTATTAGGCCTAATATTAAAGTGTTTAGGAAAGTTGTATTTTTAGCTTGTTGGAGAATAGCTTTATCACTAACAAATTAACTATGATGTTTTTAACTTTTTATGGAACAAGAATAAAAAGTGCTACAGGTCACTCTATTGATAGATCAGGCCCGAGCCCATAAAACTTAGACAAGCTCACTTTTGATCTCATTCTCACTTTTACCAATGGAATATGTAGTGGAAAAGTGAGACTGGGATCAAAAGAGAGCTTATCTAATTTTCTGACCCAAGAACCTGATTATAATAAATGATTATAAATTTTCTTTTTTACACTTTTGATCATTTTTAATTGATTCCATTAAATCTTTAATTGCTTTTAATTTCTAGGAAATATGATAGAGTGGTGTACCCCTGATGACTTTGAGCTGGATGGCGTGGAGTTCAAAGCAATGGTCAGTGGATCTCACACACAACAAAAGGACTTTGTGTAAGTACGACCTTGTATATTCACGTACATTTGTTTGGAAAAAGTTATGAGGAGATAAGACAGTACTCTGCATTGTGTGGATTGTTTTTTGAAACTGAGAAAGTCGACAAGTACTATTATGATGACAACAGTTGACTTTATATAATAAAGTTACAATATCAAATGTAAATTGGTACCAAATGTTTTAAATCTGTGTGCAATTCATGACAACATGTGTGGTAAAGTGGAAGTTTGGGAACAGAAATGAAAATGCATCATTTGGATAAGACTGTGTAAGAAGACTAGACTTTATTTTCAATTTTTCATATTCACAGAACTTAATCTGTCATTGTAATTAATTTAAAATTGTCTTTTTTGTATACATTCAGTTAAAAACATTTAAGAATGGCAGAAATCTATCATCAATATACTTCTATATCATCACTAGATTATCTGTATGTATTTTGTGTTCCAGTTACTTCAGAAAGGATCGTTTGTATGGACTGGCCTGTTATGAGAAGATGTCGGTGGAGAGTGAGATTGAGCGAGGGGCCAATCAAAGTACATAGGGATATATAGGAAAAATCTTTAAAAATCTTCTTACACACTTCTCTACCGACACATACAGTTCTTAGAGTCACAAGTCAGGTACCCCCTCTGGGATTTTTAGCTCTTCCAGTAGTCTACCCCATCCTCTTCATCCCATCCTTCCCATTACTCTACAAAGGCCTTGTCTGATAACAAGTCAAGTGCAACCTTGACATCTCTTGAAGTAGAAAATCTACCGTACTTTTCCTTCATTGTCTCATTAAATGTTAAAGCATCAAAGATAATTGAAAGCACTTTCATTTAACATTGAATGTATTCTATGAAGGAAGTATCATGGATAATTTTGATTCAGACATTAAACACATTCTATTAAATCTCATTCATATACAATAACTATACATGTATTTTGATTTTTTATTTTCAGGCACCAGTTGGAGTTACCAGGTATTTATTCTCAGCTTCAGGCTTTCTACAATGATAAGAAAGGAGTGCTTCCAGAGTCAGCCAGCTCAAGGGGGGTAACTCCCACCTCCACACCTTCCACCCCAAGTAGTCTGCTGCCAGAAATGAAGGTGGGTTTTCTGCTGGGTATTTTATATAAAGTCACTGATACTTAGCGATATTTAGAAAATAGGAGTCTGATGACTAAACATCTGTTTGTCGTACAATTCAAAATTTTACTAGAACATTCCAATTTAGGAAAAATGAATTGAAATCTGGAATTTCAGAATTGCATTTTTAATACAGAGGTGTACCCATCCCTGAAATTAAATTACTTACCTTACAGATAACCCACCCTGCTGGCTGCTTCTCACAGTTTATTAAGTTTTTTGGTGCAAACATCTTTATATTATGGAAGTTGGTTCTTCTGCAGAAGAGGATACTGTTTTTCTCTCCACCTCCAATAGGGGTGGTCTGCTATAAAGGTAAGCTACAATGCTCTTTAGCAAAGATGGTCAGTAAATATTACATGTATATGAAAAATTAAAAGTTCAACACACTCTTAACTTGATTCAATTAATGTTTGTTTTTTGTAGCAGGTCTTTTCCTATGTAACAATTAAACACTAGGACGAAGTTTGCTGGTTATGCTTAATACCTGGTAATAAAATGTAGAACAAGACCTCGATATGTAATCTGTGATATTTCTAATTACAAAGTCTACTTTATGACAGTGCTGACCTATTTATGGATTGTTAGACGTATGCAGATCTTAGAGTAATATTAAATAATAATAAAAATTAGATAGAGGCATGGAATTTATAGGGAATGTTATCTAAAAGAAAAATGCATTTACAAGTATAAAACTACATATGCTGGGTACTTGGATGTTCCAGTCTGAGAGAGGATTTTTGTTTATTGTTGTTCAATTGAATTATTTAGAGGGGGTTTTTGTTTATTATTGTTCAATGGAATTATTTATTGTAGTTTACTGTGCATGTTGTCTTGGAAACCATGAGGTAGGAAAACTAGGACATGAGGTACAACCCCATTTCTACGTGAATGTTGCTGATATAGAAACATTGGAAACAGAAGTGGCCTACATTGCATGTATGTAATCAGCATGTATTTTGTAACCATTCAAGAAAATGCATCTTTGAGTATGACATTTTGATATATGTTTTGCACTGCAGGTACAACAGAGAAGATTTTTGAAACAAAGACATATTTACACGATGTTTACGTAGATAACCAGGTTATTACGGCCCATACTCCCGTCATACAAGACCTGCTGAAACTGAGTGATGCTGACAAGGACAAATACAACAAACTCTTAAATCGCAGGTAGGCCGTATGGGCCAGGATTTTCATTCCATGAATAAATTATGGAAAATTATTTTTGTCTTTCTACATGGAGAACTATTTCTGTTACAGGTCTGCAAACCAATTTTCCTATGAGGGTATGGGAGAGGATGTGGTGGATGAAGAGGAATTAATTACAGCGTAAGATTTTGAAATGTTGAATAACAGGTTGTTCCTTTTAATATCTTACTTGCATTAATGTATAATGATTAACAAACAAGATTTTAAATGAGAGTGCTCCTTTCAGGTTTTTTACCCAGCAGAACAATGACCTGTTCAGCACACTCCTGGATGTGGCCCACTCACATGACCGTCAGCTGACCTCCGATCACATGAGGAGCATGGGCCTCGACCCTCAAGGAGATCGCACCTTCCTCATGGAGCTGGTGGAGCATTATGGGATAGATGTTGTCCTCATGGTAGACAACCCTTGCTGCCCTAAATGATTTTCGTTCGTTTTTGGGGAAGGAAAAAATAACAAGGTAGATGAGTAATAAACTGCTCAATTCCTTGTAACATCCTCCAGCATCTGTGAAACAGTTTCTCAGTTCATACATCTTACATGTTTCCCAGAAATGTCAATGGTTTTGGGGCCATAGTTTACATGAATGAGATTTGTTGTCTGTGATAGTTCTATCTGTATGTTACGGTGTTATGACAATTTTTTGCTATTAATGATCATGCTCAATGGGGATTTGCACTGCTTTTTTTAAACAAACTGAGAGAAGAACTAGCGTACATGTAGCTCTCATAAATATTATCACCAGAAAAATTACTTATTGTACAGGACTTGTATAACATGGTCACATGAAGGAGTCTATGGTGTAATATGTTACATGTATACATAAAACCACAGTGTGTATCATTCCCAGGAAGTTGGAGTTTCACATATAATTCAAAAAATCAAAGATAAAAATAATAGCTAAATGTATTACATTGTAATTTAAAGTAACAATTCACATCAACTCAAAACAGACCAATCTGTAGCAAAATTAGTTTTGTCATATTTAGTGTTCAGATTTGAATGATACAAAAAGTAAATGGAATTACAATTATTTGCATGCATGTTCAATTTTCGAATTCAGAAATTACAGCATTTATAGGAAATTATTGTAGCATTTTATATATGCATAAATTGGATATATTAACAGTGACAGTAGGATTCCTTAGATATATAAGTACATGTAGTCCTTGGATTAGGTAAAATATAATGAATAGTTTTGTTTATGTTTTGCACACATTTTTGTTATGTTGGCATTCTTATGATTTGTTGAGAAATGCACTTGTTTAATTAATGAATATTGTGCAGGGTTGTTATTAAATCAATGCATTGGACATATACATGATATATTATAGTCTTTGCAATTAGGATTATTTAATTTGATTTTTTATGGAGTTTATTTAACATTCCTTAATATTTTCTTTAATTCATTACAACAATTAATGAAAGTGTAACTACTATTTTAAATTTATATTATGTTGTATTAAACTATTTATTGTGACAATGATGGGTAGCTAAATGTTGTGGAGATGTTCTGTAGAAGTTTTACCCCCAAAGACAAGATATATTCCTTTCTATTTACTATTTTAAGAACACAAACACATTTGTTAATAATACATGTATTAATAAGTCTTCCTTTGTCCTGCAGTAGATACCTAGGAGATAATTAATACTAGATGTGGGCACAATTGATGCTAAAGTGTATTTTGTTATTTATAGTTATATATAACCACATAGAAATATAAGACTGCATGATTCTTTTTTCTTGAACCCTGTATGTCAGGTTGTAGTAAGATCAATGTTTTTCAGTCAGTGAAAATGTATCTAATGTAATTTTAAATTTTATTTAAATGCTGCATTATGTATATTTGAAGCTTCTTTTATACTGCTTTGATCTCAAGTTGTAGAGCACAAATGATCTTAAAATTTGGACTTGAAAAGTAAGAATGACAAATATTTGTTGTTTCTTGAAGCCAACTCATGCATTGATTGAAAAGAAGTGACCTTAGTTACAAATGTTAAAGGAGTCTGGAGTAAGGAGTTGGTGTCTTAATTCTGTAAATCTATATGTAGATCCTATTCTTTGTATAAAAATGTAATGTAGGATGTGCAACCCAAGTGGATGCACATATCTGACACAACCCTCATTTGAAATCTCTACATTTTTAGTAAAAACAGAGGAATCTACAGACGCAAGACAGGTTTATACATGTACTTGAATGACTGTGATATTGAAAAGCATACACAAAAATTGTGACAGCAATTGTTCATTAATAAGATTGGTTGGGTACCATGGATGCACAGAAAGCATTGGGCAGTTAATCTTAAAAAAAAAAGAAAGTGACACTTTACATTCCTTAGCTGCAAGTCTTTCCTAATGTATTCCTTTATTATGTGGATTTAATCAACATTTCAGACACAAAAAAAATCAATTCATTAAAATGTGTAGTTAGGCTCAGGGTGTAAATGACAATGAATAAAATAAAGCTTTGCCTTTTAATGAAAGCTTCAATAAATGCTCATAAAAGTCTCATCATTTTCAATCCATGTGTTTTCAGATTTGAAATTAATCATTAAGTGTATAGTTATTGCTTTGAGAAAGCTTTTCTTGTCTAAGAGTGCCCATTTGTCTGCCAAGTGTTGTTTGTAAACATTTCACTTTAAAAATCTTTCCATAGCAACAAGGTAAAGCCACTTTTTCAAGGAGAGATAATCAAAATATATTGAAACTATGTTAGATATGAAGATCACTTCAAGAGTACCGATAATAACATTCAAATTTGTTCAAAACAATTCTGGGGCTAAAATGGAGTTGTAATTGGGGGTGGGTGGGTGTCACCCTTATTATTCAAATTTTTCAGAACAAATACAGCAAGGTTGTCATATGTCAAATATTATCATCTCCATGTAGTCTAGAATCCGATTTGTTAAAATGTTGGCCTCTGGGACTAGAATGTATTGTAATATTTTGTTACACTTAGGAAAAATCTAAAATCTCAAGAATATATTGTTTCAGGTGAGCATTATAACCCCATGGGCCAACAGGTTGATACATTTTCAGTATTTTCTCAGATGAATTTGCTAAAGCCAAAATTTTATATGTATAAGGCCATCTTTAAAAAAATTGTTTGGTTGCCCTCTCCCGACTGACTGCCTAAAAGTGGTCTTATACTCAAATTTTTTTCAACCCCCAAGAAGCAATTATTTTTTATGTGTTCTGGAAAATATAATTTTAAAAATTAGCATTGAAATTGATTTTATTTGAGATAAAAAAAAAATTCACCTACCTACCGACCCAATATTTCAGACAGTCAGGGGACGGCAAACATTTTTCTTAAGTTGGCTAATTGCTTAAAATTAAATCCAATCAGATATGTCATGTATTTTAAATAGATCTATTGTACTTTAAGTTCTGTACATATTTTTAAAATTCTATATTATTACAATTGGGTGGAGCTTGTATTACACCAAATGAACAAATTGTTTACATGCTGAGAAAGAGAATGGTGTTAGTTTTGCTTTAGTATTGTGTAAGACATCTTACTTATTGTTTATACATTGTACTTTTAAACAATTCATGCTGATTAATCATGTCTAGCCAAATTTTTTTCTTTATATGTTCACTTTACCTAGTGCAATATACTGCTTTATAAAAGTCTAAAAAAAATCATCTTGTTATAAAATAAAATATGAATTTAAAATTTGAACTGGTTGTCTCTTTAGAATAGCAAAGCACTACATGTATTACATATCATTATAACTATCTATAGTGAAATGTGATATTTTATGCCTTAAGAAACCGGAAACAAAGGCATCTATAGCTTGAAAGCTTTGGAAAAGGCCATTGAAATCTCTCCAAAAATCACCATATATCATGACCCTCTCCCCTGGCAAAAATTTTATTTTAAACAAGATATGTTCACATTGCTCACCTGAGAAGCAACCATTCTGTTCTTTATAAGATTTCCCCCTTGTAATACATAAAAATCCCCACTGAACTTAATTTAGAAAATTTAATCTACACTACCCCAGGATGCTTAAAATTTGCTTTTCTGGCCCATTGGTTCTTGAGAAGAAGGTTTTCAAAGATTTTTCCTATATATTTCTATGTAAAAGTTTGATTATCCATTGTAGCCCTGCCCTACCCCAATGGGTAATGATTTGAACAATTTAGAATCTACACTACCCCAGGATTGTTCCACATAAGTTTCAGCTTTCCTGGCTGAGTGGTTCTTGAGAAGAAGATTTTTAAAGATTTTTCCTATATATTTCTATGTAAAACTTTGATTCCCCATGTCTGACAAAATGTTTTGAACAATTTAGAATCCACACTACCCAAGGATTGTTCCACATAAGTTTCAGCTTTTCTGGCCCAGTGATTCTTGAAGATTTTTAAAGATTTTTCCTGAATATTTCAATGTAAAACTTATATTCCCTATTGTGGCCCCCAACCTACCACCGGGGGTCATGATTTTAACAATTCAGAATCTACACTACCCCATGGTGCTACCACATAAGTTTCAGCTTTTCTGGCCCAGTGGTTCTTCTGAAGAAGATTTTTTAATGACCCCACCCTTTTTAGGTCACCTGAGTAACTCAGGTGACCTACTGAAAATTTGGTGTCGTATCGTGTGTTAACAAAATTTTCAGCTTCTTCTCTGAAACCACTAAACCAATTTCAACCAAATTTTGTATACAGCATCTACAGGTAGTGTAGATTCAAAAATTTATTTCATGGTCCATGACCCCCAGGGGTAGGGGTGGGGCCAAAACCCTAAAATTATTGCAATCTTTAAAAAGTTTTACATAGAAATATATAAGAAAATTCTTTAAAAATCTTCATTCAGGGGTTCTAGTGCTAGGGTGGGGCTATATAGATTATATAGTGAAAATGCATTATTTCTTTGAAAATCTTCTTCTCTGCTCCTGGGTACTAAATAAACTAAGTAAGTACATAGTTATGATGAGCAAGAGTGCCTTTTTCAAAATTGTGAATTCTATGGCCCCAGGGTCAGGGGTTCTGGTGTTAAGGTGGGACCTAAGTTTCATATAGAAATATATAAGAAAATTCTTTAAAAATCTTCTTGCTTCTGGGTAATAGCAAAGCCATAATTGCACATAGTTATATGGAAGCAAGAGTGCCTTTTCCAAAATTTATTTTATGGCCCCAGGGTCAGGGGTTCTGGTGTTAGGATGGGGCTCTATTGATTATATAGTGAAAATGCATTAATTCTTTTAAAATCTTCTTCTCTGCTTCTGAGTATTAAATAAATAACAAAGCACATAATTGATCATGCCCTTTCCAAAATTGTGAATTTTATGGCCCCTCAGGGGTAGTGTTAGATTCATGATTATATGTAAAAAATACATTAATTCTTTGAATATATTTTCCTTTGCTTTTGGGTTTTATGCCAATGATTCAATTATATATATTTATGATGAAGGAAGGTGCATCTAGCAAAGTGTTTTTTTTTTGCTCCCTGTCATGAGGGGGGGGGGGGGAAATGAAAATAAATTAATGCTTTGAAATCAAGCTCAGTGTATAAATAATTTAATTATAAAATTTGCAAAATTTTGAAATATGTGGCCCCTGAGTCAGTGGTTCCTTTTTGAGGTGCACAACTGATAAAATGTATTTGCTGACTCTGGTCATTGTTTACAAAATGATGCTAAATTAATAATTATGATAAGCAATGGTGCCTCTTCCAAAATTGTGAATTGTGAATTTCATGGCCTCTCTTTAATGGCTGAACCAAAGTGTTTAAAGTTGACAATATATAGGTGAATAATTCTTTGTTTTGTCTTCTCAAGAATAGCAAAGCCATAATTGATCATATTTAACAATTTAAATTTCCCTTCACCAAAGGATGCTTTGATTAAATTTGGTCAAAATTGACCCAATGGGGGTAGGGCGAAGCGAAAATGTGAAAAGTTTACATAGAAATATATAGGAAAATTCGGAAAAATCACGACGAACAAAATGTGATAGCAAAGCCATGAGCCTTGGTCAGGTGAGCTATAAAATGTTTCTCATTTAAGACTTGTTAATAATCCCCTCCAATTTCATACTAGATGTATTTTTCCAGCCACAGTGCTTCAGATATAAACCGATGTGGCCGATGGGCAACCATTTTTCAAACTGACCCCTTGTTCCTGGGAAGGATAAAAAGGATTTTGAAAAAAATGCTTGACAAACACTGACACATTTATTTGATACATCTTTATTTCTATAACAAAATGTGTGTAACTGAATCCATACTTTTTTATGGGACAATTACAAACATTGCAACTTATGCAAAACAAACATACAGTTTCCAACAACTGATCAGTATATTCTACTGAATATTTGTTAACACAGTTACATGTTTGGTTTTACTTTTACATGTAAATGTCAATATTTTTCTGCCTCTGATAGTGTTTTCACAGAGACAATTCCAGTTACTATTGTGCCCCATTACATCTTTATCTTGTTAAACCCTGGTAATTCTTTATCTTTTATCATTCAGGTCTTCATTTTCTTTGTCGGGGGTTCTAAGTCGCTGTCTTCTGAGGGTGGGGCTGGTGGGACACTAAATCCCTCTATCTGTAGAAATAATGTTTACATACAATGTTGTGAGAATTGAACAAAAATCCTTCCTGCAATAATTATCAAACATAAAAATCTTGGATATATATGACTGTCAAAACCCAAATTTGACAAGGAAACAATAAATTCCAAGATTTTTATGTTTGAGTTGTGAAAGATCAAAGTTCGATGTTCCGTTGATAAACATGCAATTGTATTACCTAGTGACAATGATTTAATTACATGTACATATAATGAAGATCCATACCCTACAAAGTTTTTACATTGGACTCTATAGTTTTGAATTGACTTTCCCACAAGTCTGGGTGTGTTTAATATTCAGTTTGATAAAAAACAAGAGGCCCATGGGGCCACATGTCACTTGCATACCATACCTTGTAATACATATTGTGACCCCAACCCAGATCATAATTTAGACAATGAATTACATAAGTTTCAGCCCAGTGGTTCTTGAGAAGAAGATTTCAAAGATTTTTCCTACATATTTCAATGTAAAAATTTGATTCCCTATTGTGGCCCCGCCCTTACCCCGGGGGTAATGATTTGAACAATTTGTAATCTACACTCCCCCAAGATGCTTCCACATAAGTTTCAGCTTTTCTGGCCCAGTGGTTCTTGAGAAGAAGATTTTCAAAGATTTTTCCTATATATTTCTATGTAAAACGGGGGTTATGATTTGAACAATTGGACTACACTCCCCCAGGATGCTTCCACATAAGTTTCAGCTTTTCTGGCCAAGTGGTTCTTAAGAACAGTTTTTTCCTATATATTTCACTATCGTGGCCCTGCCCTACCCCCGGGAGTCATGATTTGAACAATTTAGAATCTACACTCCCCCAGGATGCTTCCACATAAGTTTCATCTTTTCTGGCCCAGTGGTTCTTGAGAAGAAGATTTTTTAATGACCCCACCTTAAGTTTGAGGGGTGTCATTTTAACAATTTAAATTCCCCTTGTAACCAAGTTTGGTCAAAATTGGCACAGTGGTTCTTGAGAAGAAGTCAAAAATGTGAAAAGTTTACAGACGGACGGACAGACAGAGAGACGGACGGACAGATGAACGACAGACAAAATGTGATCAGAAAAGCTCACTTGAGCCTTCGGCTCAGGTGAGCTAAAAATACCATTCCTTAGAATGTTATGGGATCAGATTCAATTAAATCATGTTTTCCCAACGGAGGTTTCATTTATTCCATCCATTTAATTTTCAAGCATAGTACAGTGGTGTCTTGCTAATCCAAATGCCAGTCTTCTTTTGAGACATTTTTGGGAAAATTTTTCTATTTATGTATACCAAATATGTCTTATTTATCTGGATGATTCATTAATTCAAACAATTTGCATGGGGAACACAAGCTTCAAGATTAACAAGGCACCAGTGTATGGGTTTTGATGAAATGTTCAAAATTTCTTTAAGAAATCAAAAGTAAGCAAAACTGGACTGTGTTTAAAGACAAACCTGTTCATCATATTCAAAAGTAACACCCTTGGAGTCCAGATAAAGGGTTGCCTCTAGTCCATACTTAGGAATCAGGATCTGAAGCGCATTCTTACGTACAAACAGGACATATCCCTCATTATCCACCTGTCTGTTTTTGAAAAATATCTAACAAAAAAAAATTCAATAAAAGAACTACCTGTAGTTATATCCACTGACATGTACAAATACAGTAAATAAGGAGAAATCACATATTTTCTTGGGGTTCAATTTTCAAGGTATGAAATGGAAATGTAAGGGTCAACAATTTCCCTGTATACAATAGCCTTTTGATGAGGTCAATCTCAAAATAAAAAGACCATAAAGAAAAGCAGATATAATTTGATATTAATGTAGTAGAATATCAGGTAGGGGTACTTACATGTGTATGAAGGTTGACTGATGCCCGACCTGCATACTGTGCCATCTTGTGACGGTAGTTCAAATTATTGCATACTGCCTGATAAATCAGAAAATTTCACATGTACAAAACATTTTAGTTTATATTATTATTACATGTATACAATATAATGAATCATACTTCAGACACTGTCAGATACCTGTGTTTTATACTTGTCTGTTAATTCTGGATAAGAAGAGTCTGCTCCAATACAAACAGCCAATAGACGGTGAACTATGATATCAGAGTACCTACAAAACATCAGTCATTCAATACAGTGTTTACATTAAGAAATAAAGAATCTCTCAGCATATTCATTTATTTAACCTTTAAATTGAATCTGATAAATCAGCTGTTTACAAGTTTGAATCCACCTTCTTATTGGTGATGTAAAGTGTGTGTAAATCTCCGCGGCCAGACCATAGTGAAGATATTCAGTGGGGGGTAACATTCCACTACAGAAATACACGGCCTGGGTCATACACCGAGTCGTCATGATCCTCAACATCACATTAAAGTAGGGATCATCGGGTATAACAGCTCTCTCCAGACTGTCGGCCAAAGACTTACCACTGGACACATCTATCTTAAAACCCTACAATGATGGAGAATGACATTAAAATAGATGGTCATTGACCCCATGTGACATTTTTTTTTCTTTTGAAACAAAATATTTCCCTTATTAGTTATTACAAGCTAGAAAGATATTGTTTTAAAATTTCCATCTTATTAAAGAATGGGAAAGAGGACACACAAAGTAGTGCTTTTGTATAAGCGCATGTACTGTGTATATATTTTTTTAGTACCTTTGACTGAGCTGCTTTGATGAGGGGGTCAAAGTTGGATGGTGGGGGGATTGGATGCCTCCTCAGACAGGAACAGTCAGGGAATTCCTGGAGGGTCTTCTGAGCAGTGGACACATTGGCTAATAACATGAACTCCTCCACCATGAAATTGGTGTCTCTATAATTATAAGAAAATAATGCTAAAAATAAATTATTTTTTTCTGCAAAGTCTACACTGTATATCAAAATTATCTGTTTTTCTAGATAGCTATGTACAGGTATAATGTACAGATTATAACATTTCTTTTCACTGAGTAATACTTTAGTTTTATACAGCATTAATTAAAAGAATACTAAAAGCCCAGCTATAAATCTTAACACTGGAGAAAATGACAAATTTTCATTAAAGGGAGAAATTCTACATAATCCAAACAATCATTATTAAGTTAATTGTAAGATTGAACATATGGTCTGATCAACTGAAGTGAGTCTGACATTACCATAATAAAACATTATTTTTAAATACGTGTAATTACATTAGATAAATTTACGAACCTGATTTGTTTAGTTTCAACATCAATAGGATCATGAGTCTCACTGTCAATCTGGAACCTCACTTCATTAGAGGCTAATGTTAATGCACTGTATATGGAAAGAGGAGAGAAAAATTAAGCTATTCATGTGTCATGATATCATTAATACTAATTTTCTTATGCAATGAATGCAAATAACAAATCAGAACTATAATCTGTTGCGATTATATCCCACCCTTTATCAATCCTCTTTCTCTTCAGTATTTTAGCCAGACTGTTGAGATTCCTCAGACTCTTAGTGACAGTGTCCGTCATCTTGGGGTCATCAATTCTCATTTGGGCCTCGGCATAAGTTAAGGCTGCCTGATAATTAAATGAGAATTCTTAATGTATATACATACTGCTCGTTGACTTTTAAGTTAAAAATTACAGCTTTTGGTTTGGTAAACTTATCAACAAATGTGTAAACTCTGTTCAATGTGATATATACATGTGATTGTGCTTTGGATATTATCAAAGATGTAAACTCTGTTCTTTGTGATAAATATATGTGACTGTACCTTAGATTTGATGACACTCTTGGTACACTTTGTTGTTACAATCTCTGCATCATGGGTCAGTTCCCATATGACAGAAAAGGCAAATCTGAAATGAGAAACATTGTATTGGAATTATATGCTACCTTCCATAGACAAGACATTATAATATTGGAATTTGGGACCCCCCCCCCCCCTTACATTTAGTATATTAGACACTGTTCCTCATTTTTTTAAATTTTAATAATAAATATTCAAGTAAAAATATATACATTTTGTAAGGACTGCAATCAAGTACAGAAAAAAAAATCTTATTACATGTAAAAAGCTAGAAAACAATTTTCACCTTTCCACATTAGACCTTAGTGAACACAGATTGGAGCTCAGCAGTTCTGGAACCATATCTATTCTCTGTGGAAGTATAAAGCTACACATAAACATATATCTGCAAATAAACATTATAATCAGGTGAACTGTACGATTGAACTATGATCTCTCAACTGAAGTGAGTGCATCTCTCTGACATGAGCCATAATCAAACATTTTTTTATATAACCAGTCTGATAATTAAGCAAATTTACTATTGATTTCTTTAGTTTCAACATCAATTGATCCTGAAGTCAAAATGCAGTCCCACTGTGCATATTCTATTAAAATTTGCCCTTGATACCTCGAAGTGGCTATGTGTATACAAAGTTACATAATTAGCAACATTACCTGGACAATTTAATGCAATAAATGCAAATAAGCAAATCTTTCATATAACGGGATGTTTATTCAGGTGACACTTATACTGCAAGGTGATAATTGATTTATAATTAATCTTTTGTTGCCTATATGCTATTAAAATAATTATCATCGACTTTATTACGATAATTTAGAAACGCAGTGTCACTGAGAAATTGTAATTGCAGATTACAAGACGAAACACTTAATAAATTTAATTTTTATTTCAAATCAGTGTCAAAGTTTAGCAAAATATGAAAATTCAGAAACAGTCTTTCTGTCAATATGATCACTATTGTTGGACAAATACTGACAGAATTTCGTTCAATGCACATGTTTGGAAAAGTCGCAATGCTATATGTACCACGCAACGCTGGTAAAATGTCGTTTTCATACAACGAATGCGTAGTATGGTGTCCATATGATAAAGAGTAAATAAATATACATGAACTGACGATGTTTAATAAATATTCATCTAAAATACGAAAACATATCGTTATTTTATAAAATCCATGTGTAAAATGGTAGGTCTACATGAAAATCATTACATCCAGTAAGACTAATTTTAAAACCTGTCAAACAAACCTTAGTGAACACAGATGGACTCAGCAGTTCGTAACTCTTGATCTCTGTGAAAGTATAAAGCTACAGGTATACATGTAAATACACTTGAACATTATAATATATATAATATACAAATTTTAATGAGAAATATTTTGAGTACTGGTGTTAACCTTATCTGTGAGATAGACAGTGGTTCCTCTTCTCTCTGCCTCTTTATCAATAGCAGTACCAGGCCGGATAAAGTGAGACACATCTGCTATGTGAACACCCACCTAAAATAAAGAGGAATCATTTGGAACAATAAGCTAAACATACATGTATATACAAGAAGTCTGTGGCAGAAATAGTCTTCTATGTTTCAGTACCTCTAAGTTTCCGTTAGGTAGATCCCTGCAGTGTAAGGCGTCATCAATATCAGTACAGCCTGGAGGATCCACACTACAAATGTCAAGGTCACGGAAGTCTTCACGCCTCTCCATATCCTACAGATAAATATCGGACAAGTCAAAATTGTCAAAAAATGCATAAAAATTAAGACAAAAATTTATACATGTGTCTAAATTCAAAAAAGAACACCTGACCTCCTTTGTGATTTCCCATGGAAGTTTGGGCAGACAGTTGAGGACCGCCTCTGAGAAGCTAGCGTGGGGGATATCATGCTCTAACAACAAAACTTCATTCTCTGTTTCCTTGTCTCCAACATTTCCAAGCTTCCTTACGAAATGTCCCTACATAAAAATAAAATTTTAGAAATACATGTACATGAAAAGAACATAAACAATGTGTACATGTTTTGTTTACTATTTTATCATCTTGCCATATGAATAAACACAGTTATTGGTAGTGCTTCTTTGTATATATTTGTGAATACAAAAAATCTTCATCTTTTACAACAAATGTTTATAAATATCAAAATAGTCCATATGACTTCACTATAACTGAGATTTTCTTTACCAAGATGTAAACAAACCTGTGGATATCGAGATGTCCTCGGCCAGCTATCAATGGCCACAACAATCCTCTGGTTCATTAAATCTGCTGCTTGTCTTGTCTCTATTCTAATTTTGGGAATTTTCTTGTCTGCAGTAACCACTAGATGTCTTGTTGCCTTAAAGCAGAAAACACGATAATAAAAAAATATTTACTTTTGCTCTCATTATTGCTCTTTATATCATTATTATCTAATATGTAAATTTTAAATTATCAAATAAATGATGATGAGAAAAATCCCATTTTAAGAAACAAAGGATATTAACAATTTACTCAGCATTGTTAATGTAGATTTTAACTTTGGAATACACTGTACCTGTTTGAGCATTGAGGGTTGTAACATGCCACAATACTGCCTCCAGTTCCTCTTTATAATCCCCACAACTTTACCTGTGGGCTGTCGTAACTCTTTAGGAACCTTCCTGCGTTTCTTCTCCAAAGTCTTCAAAACAAGACAGAAATTCTAAGAAACACCTTTTAAAAATTTTCTATACATTTGTGATTCTTTAACCTTAATATTTTTTTCATTCCTCTCCTCCACAGAAAGAAGAATAACTAAGATTACAAATCTGAAATATTTTCCTGTGGATTGTACCAGTCCTTGTACATAACTTACACCAATACTTCACAAGTAACAGTACATCTTTACACCCCCATCCTCATCACCTTTTCTTCCTCCTCTTCATCTGTATCATCTTTATCTTCCGTGTGGACAAGAATCATGGATGACGGACAACTCCATTCCTCTTCCTCCAACATCTCCACGGCAACAATGTCATCATGAACAGCTCTGTTTAAATGCTGAAGTCCTTGTATGAATATCTGCAACCAAATATTAAACACTATTTAATGCTTACACACAGTTTAGAAGGAATGAAACTTGGAATCAGCATTTCATTATAGCTGAAAGTTTACCATTTTTTCTTCCTCAGACACACTGACATTAGCCTCAGTGTAGTTTTCTCTACTAGCCATGAACTTCCCTTGTCGATATTTCCCAGTCTTGAGACCTTTCTGTATCACTGACAGGGGGAGATGTTCTGGATACTGAACTTTATCACCTGAAAACTGATTATAAACAAAATATCCATTAGTCGGGAAAAGAATAAAATTTGTTTTATAGCACTTTAATTTCTGCAATTAAATTACATAAAGTCATAATTGTTAATATTATTCCTGTTTCCATTATTTAAGTCAAAGTATCTGTACAAGAAATTACATTATGAATTGATTTCAAGCATCATTCTGATAACTTTAATTTAAAACTGACCACTTTAGACCCTGCAAGTGACAGCCTGTCAACTAAATCTTTTCCATCTTTTAAACTTCTCACATACTGGTGTACTGTAACAGTGTCAGATACAGGCTTATTAATTAAAGTCACATAATATGTTGTTTTCTTACATGAATCAATGATTACTTTACTTTGTAAATTTCTATAAATATTACAATACATTTACTCAACAATAATTTACAAATGTAAGCTGTGAAAACTTCCAGTGAAAATTGCTTTGGCAACTTGATACTACAATTATTAACAAAACATTCATATACTTTTAATACTTCATTTAAATTTAAAGAAGAATGTTTTTGAAATCTCTCTTGGGAAATGGACTTCAGTGCAACAAATATCAAGAACTGGTATCAATTACGACCCCGGATACTAGTGATGGGGAATCGGAAAAAAATCATAATCGATTGTTGGTAATAATCGGCTGGGCATAATCGATTAATAATCGATTATAATCGAAATTTTGAACTTTAATAAAATTAATATAGAAAAGTTAAAACTTATTCAGATTTCTGTCAGACTTTTACAAAAAAATCATTTACTTACATAAAATATTCAAAAATGTTAATGAAATTTCTTTTTTAAAAAGTGGAAAATAGTATTGTGTTTACTTTAAACAATATAAGACTATTGAAACAGAATGGGAATTTATTTTTTTTATAAAGTCCATGCAATGGGTATTTTACTGATATCAGCCCCACCTTTCATTTAATACATGTATGTATTTATTTCTTAAAATTAGTTTTAATTAGTTAAAATTGCAAGTTGCAAAAGTAATTATCCAGAAGTTAGACTTGTATTTATGGTTATAATTACGTTTAAAGATTGACTAGACTAATTATGTTTTCCTTTACTTGCAATATTACCGTTTCCTGGTATTAGTCTAACCCCATATTCAATCATGGCGGTAAAAGTATCAACAAGACACGGGATCCTTCCATGTTTTCAACATTCATCACTACTTTTATGCTCTTTGCACTTGGATTTGGTAATAAAATTAAAGTATGACAATTTTATTTTTTGTTAGCGATGTCGGCGACATTTATTTTATAATCGATTAGTAGCATCGAAGAGCTTCTAACGACCGACAATCGATTGTCGCTGACAATCGTTCCATCACTACCGGATACCTCCTTTTTCTATAATAAAAACCTGACTCACTTGTGTAGCTCTTTAGACCTTGATCAAGTGCTTTCTTTCGATTGTCTGCATCATTGGTCAGCAGCAGAGTTTGTATCTTCCCCTGTGTGTTTGTCTGTAGGTGCTGGTTGTACCATTTAGCAGCCTCCCTGATCGCCCGGTCATTTCTGTCATTAGAGGATTCCCCAGGCTCCCTCTCAACATAGGTATGCCTGAAAATAATTAAAAGGTATTTCTGAAATATAGCATGTCTTAAGTTTTTATTGAAACCAAACCCAAGTGTAGGAAGAGAATGATTTTAAAAGAACAGCAGAGCTTACATGTATTCTATTCTTAGTTACAAACAATCGTGAAAATAACCTTTGAATATGCCCTGTTCTCATAGCTTACTTGTTAAACTCATTACAGAAGCTGTAGAAATGTTTATCTGGATTGCATAAGATGTCTCTAAGTCTCTTGTATATTGGAAGACTTCTGTGGCGAACCTGCAAAAAATGATAATACAGTTTCAATACTTTTACTGTTTAATTAGAAGATATACAGAGTTGTATTTAATTTAGTATATTTCATGATGTTTTAAGACTTAAATACTACAACTTTCTGTGTTGACAATCATTTTTTTGGTGGCGAAAGTGTTAATTTCAATCACATGTACAATGTATTACAAATTAAAAAAAAAAAAGAAATTACCTCCTCTAAAACTGTTTGAAGTATGATGACATTCCTTATTCTTGGATCCTCAACTACATCAATCTATTTCGAAGAATATAAAAATAAAATTTGAAAAAAAAAATTATTGTAATTGAAAGTATGAACAAATAAATATTTATATACTATTAAAATTCATAGTTCTTGACGGGACGAGAAATTCCGGATAGAATTAAAAAAATGTTTCCTGGGTCAAAAAATTTTCAGTTGAGTCACTTTTCAACAGTTTGTTGGGAAAGGGCAGAAAGACATCTTTTTAAAGGTGGCCTGTTATAACTGTCAGTTCTATAAATGTAGTACATGTAATTCATATTCAAAGGGAAAAAGTACCTGTTTGTATTTTCTGCAAACCACTAAAATGCGAAAAAAAATACACGCAACAAATCTAACCTGGTGTAGAATGACATTAGTATCTGGGCACAGAAAATGTAAATCATTGCACATTTCACTCTGGCTGGCACAATCAGCCTCCAAAGTTGAGGGCCCCTCACATTCGTTGCAACCTTCAGCACCACATGCTATGTCATCACGTAAATAGTGCTCGCGAACAATTTTTAAAATTTTCCCTGTCTTAGTCTTCTTTATGAATGTCTTAGAAGTTAGCATTTTTGTCCCTTATTGTTATATACGATCTGAAACGTTTTAATCTTAATCAACTTGGTGGAAAACATGTGTTGATTGGATGTCGCTATTCGCAATGTCGTGAAGTCACCTTTGAAAAATATAAATTTATCGGTTATATCTAATTATGAATAACGAACCCGAGTATTTTTTCCCCCATAAGTAGAAGCGTAAGTCATAATATATCCGTTAAAAATAAGAAATTAATTGAATATTATCCACTATAATTTTTAAATCAATGTTCAAATTTCAAAATAATAAAGAGAAAAATCAGAAGAAATAACAAATCATGTACATGTATTAAGGGTACCACGGACATTTTTTTGTGAAAATATACATGCGCGGATCTACAGTGGGTGGGAAGGGGTGGGGTTGAGGAGGGGGGGGGGTGGAATTTGCAGAGTCATTAACTTTGATTCTAAACCAAGTAAAAAAAGTTACTAATTACCTTCGACCGGCCCCCTAAAAAACACAGACCTCCCCTCGAAAACAGGGATCTGCGTTTAGGAGTCAACGAACAACCCCCCAACTTCCCATAACCACCCCGTCCCCGACCCGAAATATGTTTTTCATATTTTGAAGATTTAACGGGTTTTTTATAGGTCTCGTTGTTGCAACTTATCGAAAATACAAGAAATATACTAGTATCTTCACTCACGCTTTAGCGTCATTTTACTTCAATATGATTTCACGCGATTTTATTTTTAGATTAACATTAAATATATTGCATTCTAGGCATCGAAAAAAAAAATGAAAAAGGATGGAGAGGGGTATAAAAGATAAGCCCTAATTGCAAATGCCTATATTTATATTATGTATATTTTTTGTAAATAAAATTGGGGTTGGGGGTGTTAAAACCGCAATCTTACAAAGTAGGTGACTTCACACCATTGCACATTTATATGATTACTAGTATCTAGGAGGGTGACTTCACGCCATTGCACATTTATATGATTATCTAGGAAGGTGACTTCACGCCATTGCACATTTAAATATAATTATCTAGGAGAGATACATTGCACATTTATATGATTATCTAGAAGGGTGACTCCACGCTATTGAACGTTTATATGATTATCTAGGAGGGAGGAGGGACTTCACGCCATTGCACATTTATCTGATTATCAAGCAAGGTGACTTCACGCCATTGCACGTTTATATGATTATCTAGGAGGGTGACTTCACGACATTGCACGTTTATATGATTAACTAGCAAGGTGACTTCACGCCATTGCATGTTTATATGATTATCTAGGAGGGTTACTTCACGCCATTGCATATTTGAATGATTATCTAGGAAGGTGACTTCACGCCATTGCATGTTTATATGATTATCTAGGAGGGTGACTTCACGCCATTGCATGTTTATATGATTATCTAGGAGGGTGGCTTCACTCCATTGCATTTTTATATGATTATTTAGGAGGGTGATTTCACGCCATTGCATGTTTATATGATTATCTAGGAGGGTGACTGCACGCCTTTTCATTTTTATATGATTATCTAGGAGGGTGACTTCACACCATTGCACATTTATATGATTATCAAGCAAGGTGACTTCACGCCATTGCACGTTTATATGATTATCTAGGAGGGTGACTTCACGCCATTGCATGTTTATATGATTATCTAGGAGGGTGACTTCACGCCATTGCACGTTTATATGATTAACTAGCAAGGTGACTTCACGCCATTGCATGTTTATATGATTATCAAGCAAGGTGACTTCACGACATTGCACATTTATATGATTATCAAGCAAGGTGACTTCAAGACATTGCACGTTTTTATGATTATCTAGGAGGGTGACTTCACGACATTGCATGTTTATATGATTATCTAGGAGGGTGACTTCACGTCATTGCACGTTTATGTGATAAACTAGCAAGGTGACTTCACACCATTGCAAATCACTATAAAATCAAGCAAGGTGACTTCACGACATTGCACATTTATATGATTATCTAGGAAGGTGACTTCACGCCATTGCACGTTTATATGATTATCTAGGAGGGTGACTTCACGCCATTGCATGTATATATGCTTATCTAGGAGGGTGATTTCACGCCATTGCATGTATATATGATTATTTAGGAGGGTGACTTCAAGCCATTGCATGTTTATATGATTATCTAGCAATGTGACTTCACGCCATTGCATGTTTATATGATTATCAAGAAAGGTGACTTCACGCCATTGCACGTTTATATGATTATCTAGGAGGGTGACTTCACGCCATTGCATGTTTATATGATTATCTAGGAGGGTGACTTCACTCCATTGCATGTTTATATGATTATCTAGGAGGGTGACTTCACGCCATTGCATGTTTATATGATTATCTAGGAGGGTGACTTCACGCCATTGCATTTTTATATGATTATCTAGGAGGGTGACTTCACACCATTGCACATTTATATGATTATCAAGCAAGGTGACTTCACGCCATTGCACGTTTATATGATTATCTAGGAGGGTGACTTCACGCCATTGCATGTTTATATGATTATCTAGGAGGGTGACTTCACGCCATTGCACGTTTATATGATTAACTAGCAAGGTGACTTCACGCCATTGCACATTTATATGATTATCAAGCAAGGTGGACATTGCACATTTATATGATTATCAAGGTGACTTCGACATTGCACGTTTATATGATTATCTAGGAGGGTGACTTCACGACATTGCACGTTTATATGATTAACTAGCAAGGTGACTTCACGCCATTGCATGTTTATATGAGTATCAAGCAAGGTGACAAGTATCTAAGGTTACTTCACGCCATTACATATTTATATGATTATCTATGAGGGTGACTTCACGCCATTGCATGTTTATATGATTATCTAGGAGGGTGACTTCACGCCATTGCATGTTTATATGATTATCTAGGAGGGTGACTTCACGCCATTGCACGTTTATGTGATAAACTAGCAAGGTGACTTCACACCATTGCATGCTTATATGTGTATCAAGCAAGGTGACTTCACGACATTGCACATTTATATGATTATCTAGGAGGGTTACTTCACGCCATTACGTATTTATATGAATATCTAGGAAGGTGACTTCACGCCATTGCATGTTTATATGATTATCTAGGAGGGTGACTTCACGCCATTGCATGTATATATGCTTATTTAGGAGGGTGATTTCACGCCATTGCATGTATATATGATTATCTAGGAGGGTGACTTCACGCCATTGCACGTTTATGTGATTATCTAGGAGGGTGACTTCACGCCATTGCATGTATATATGCTTATCTAGGAGGGTGACTTCATGCCATTGCATGTATATATGCTTATCTAGGAGGGTGACTTTACGCCATTGCACGTTTTTTTTATTATCTAGGAGGGTGACTTCACGACCTTGCACCTTTATATGATTATCTAGGAGGGTGATGTCAAGTTCAAAACATTTTAATTAATCGAAACTTTACATTGCCTGTATAATAAGTATCTGAAAGACAATCCTCCATCGTGTTCATGTTCTTTTTCACCCTATAACTATAGTTCCACTGGTTACTTACTTACAGGTGAGGTAAGTATAGGGCTGGGCAAATATATCAATATTTCGGTATATTACAATACAAGGACAAAAAATATCGTATTGCAATATATTATCGATATACCGGCAATACAATATTGATATACCGGCAATATGCTGAGACTAAGGACTTTTATTATTGATTATTAAAAAAATGGTAGAAAGGTTTGTTATGAAGAGAAACAGTACGACAGAGAACATGATCAGCGCGTACTAATCCCTGCTGAGAAAGCATTGTCTTTGTTAGCCTCATTATATATTACATTGTAGATGATGATTGATTGCTTGTTTGATTGTATATTGTTTAACGTTTAACGAGAATTTTTCACTCATATGGAGATGACACCATTTGCCGTTGGAGAGCAGCAAATTTTGTCCTATACTCGGCACTCAGGGCCAGTGAGCAGGGAGGAATCTTTTTCGTGCCAGCACGTACTGCGACACGAGACCTCAGTTTATCAGTCTAGTCGAACCGTCGAACGGGGGTAAACGGATGTTGGATATCCGTACCTTCAAACGGGGGTACGGCGCATGCGCAGAAATTCAAAAAGTGCCGTTTTCACGAAAAAAACGTGTGGTCCACAAAATATGCTCGTGCAAAGTGATGGATTATTTCGTAGCTCTGTATGTACTCAAATTTGATAGATTAAAGATGTTTAAAGAAATTGTATTGCGAAAAAGTATATGTTTATTGTAAAAATCGAGACTTTTTCTCCCCCAAAGTTAGCGTATTCTGTGCCTTGACCTCCATGCGTGATACAACTAGATTTTTTATTCATAATTAATAAAACGGATAAATAAACAAACAATTGCTTGTTTAAAGTTGAACTACATATAATTCCCTTCCCCGGTATTAAAAAATTTGTGTAATTAGCATGTTATTTATTATTTTTCGACACTTTCTTTCTGCATGTTCGAATTTCCTCTGTCCTTTAAACAAACTTTTGTGCCTCAGAAATGACGTAAATAAAGACGAAAACATTTTTATTATTTTTTTAAAATTGAAAACAGAAGTGTAGACAATTTATTTTTGTATGTTTATGATTTTTAAAAAGAAAATTTATTTTTAAATAAGAAGAGTTATCGTTCTTCCGCTTTCGAGCGTTGCATTTAGGGAAGGAAAACCCTCGTTTGAGGGTATACCCTCGTTTGAGGGTTCGACTAGACTGGTTTATACGGTCTCATCCAAAGGATTCGAACCCGCCACGTAAGGAACAACTCCTTACTTAGCGATTCTAGAGCAGACGCTCTAACCACTGCGCCACGCGGGCAACCTATTTTACAAGTTCCTCTAAAATAGGTCCCCCGCGTGGTGCAGTGGTTAGAGTGTCTGTAATTCAACTTTTAGTTCACTTTCTAAGGAGGAAATTCTTCAAAATCACATGTCAGTTTAAAATTTTGAATATTTCTTATTTCACAAAGAACCGAATGATTTTGAACTACTATTTAGGGATGTCAACGAGTACCCGGTTAACCGGGTACTCGATCGAACGTCCGAGTA